ATACACGTATTAAATTTCTTCTACTTAAATTTTATATGAAATCTGTAGAAATTACTTGAATTATATATAGCTATTTTGCATCAGTTGTATAGTTTGTTTTTACACAGATAATATAGTAGTCTTCATTTGCAAAGTATTTTATTTATAACATCCTCTATTTATATGTATATTAATAAAAATAATCATATATACAATTATATCATACTTCTTACAACCATAGATATGTATAACAAAAATATTCGAAGAGAGAAAAACTTCAAAAATTCTCCAAAATGTTTATTAAGATAATTATTAGCATTGCTAAAAGCATAGAGCGGAATATGATTCGTTACTTAATAATAATCATTTCATAATAATTTATTTATTAATTTTCGAATTCTTTGGGATATAAATAAAATACTAAAAAATATTCCGATACTAATGACTCTTTTTGCAATACTGTTTCATTAATATTAAATATGTTTTTACTTTGCTTTTATCATTGTAGTTAAAAGAGAGATTAATGATTGTGACCTTAATGATTATGTGACCTACGAGAAAATTTAAATCACAAGACGTTTAACTCTTTCAACATATCCTATCTTATAATATTTCAAGTTTTGACATTACATTTTTAAAAAAATAAATAACATAAATTAATACGATACAAATATAATAATACTACATTTAATTGTAATAAAAATTATATGTATATTTTATTATCTAAATAAATAATAATATTTGAATAAAAAAGAAAAATTAATTTTACATTTAACAATGATGCGATTAACAGATGCACCGGGTTTAAGAATATTTGGATTCCACGCCAACATCAACAAAGCAATTCGCACTAATGAATACGGTCAAATCGCTGGTGATACCTATTTAGCAACAGATGGCCGCTGGATTTTTGAGGATTCGGACGTGACTATAAAAAATGGAGATGTACTTCATTACTGGATTTATGTGCAAACGAATGGGATTAATCACAGAAAGAATGACCAAAGATGGACGTATTCCCGTAAGATTATTTACATAAATATATGATTTCTTTGATTCACTGATATAAAAATAATAAAAAATATTATTATGTATATAATATTTCAAATTAATAACGATAGAAAATGAAGTTGATAATCAAGAAACTACACAGACGAATTCTTCAAAATATGAAATTCCAACCGAGGGCCGATTACTACTTGAAGACTATTTCAATTCTTTCAACGCGTCATTATGGAAACGCGAGATAAAGATGCCATTAGATCCGGTGGGTAGTGAGTGTATATGTATATATATATATATATATATATATATATATATATATATTCATACAATGTGTATGTAATTGTATAGACAGATATGTATATTTCATTTCAACTCAATACGATTAATTATGTTGAAATTAGGACTACGAATTTTGCGTATATCACAATCAAAATCATAAGCAACTTGTGCAAGTTCAGGATGGTCAATTATTCATAAGGCCAATTATACTGGAAGACTATTATGGCGAGAACGCAACCGCATATGGAAGATTACAACTTAATGAGTAAATATAAGTAAATTAAATTTCTATTGCATTTTTTTGTTTTATAATCTATCTTTTCGTAGATGTACGAGCTTGGTTGCTTTCGAATGTACGCGACAGGCGTTATCTTATAGCATTCTGCCACCCGTTATATCTGCACGTTTTACCACGAAAGAACGTTTCGTTTTGCAATACGGAAAGATCGAAATACGCGCGAAGTTTCCTGAGGGCGATTGGCTGTATCCAGGTAATTTTGTAATTTTTTTATTGCGAGCGAGACATATATTACGCAATGTGAAACACGTTATGTTGAATAGTCTGTACAGTATCACATAAATTAATCTGAATAAAATACAAAATATAAGACAATTTATATATAATTTATATTAATTGCTTTTTTAATTGCAATTAACTGTATAAGATACATGTTATAATATAATAATAATGTCTAATTAATTATAAGTTGCTAAATATTAATTAGTAACGACACTTATAGTTACTACATAATTTGATTGAATCTCGGCCTAAATTTGTATCGTATTGTTAACATATTATTGGAGCATATATATTTTTTACATTTAATTATGAATAAAGAGTATATTATTTCATATTTTATTAATTTACGTAGTAATTAATTTATACATATAGTATTGTATAGTTAAAAAAAATTGTCATTGCTCTCATCAATTTTTTGCTTTTCTATAGAAAGTTTCGATCAGTTTTTTTCTTTGTATTTTTCTAACAATGATAAATATTATTTAAATAAGACTTAATTTACTTCCCTTTGAACGGTTAATAGATTTGTCACAATTTACAGTATTAATTTTCTTTAAGAAAGATATAACATTATCACAAAATTTTCAAGGAAATATATACTTAGCCATAATTATGCAATCACAACAATAAATATTAATAGTATACTTGATACACACACACACACACACACGCACACGCACACACGCGCACACACACACACACATCTAAATACTATAAATAGGATATTTTCAGCACGTCATAATTCATATATATATATACAATAGTTTTTTATTGAAATATTTAAATGGAAACAAATTACGTAAAACAAAACTTTAAAATACATAAAATAGGTCTTAATTTTATCAGAAATGTGGCTTGAACCACGTTATTCTACTTATGGTATGAACTACGCCAGCGGCCGTGTTCTTCTGGGTTTAACACGTGGCAATGAGAACTTGGTGAATGCTACGAACGTTTCGAAGATCTATGATACTAGACGATTGGATTTTGGCGTGAGAGTAAGCCCATCCCTTAATGAGATCCAAGAAATACTCGTCACAAAAGTAAACGAATTCGGACCACGATGGACGAAGGATTTCCATGTGTACACGACGATCTGGACCAGTGATGGTTTCACGTTTTTGGTCGATGGCGAAGAAGTTGGCCGAATAAGCCCTAATGAAGAGGGATGGACGAGTGGTCCTCACGCAGACAGAAAAGCTGCCCCGTTTGATCAAGAGGTATCATTTAATTCTATTATTCTATTGCACTATAGTTCTATTGTTATAAGACGGTTTTATATTCTTTGTAGTTAAGCAAGCATTATAAATTTATGAAGACATTTTTTTTGTATCTGTTTACCTTATACATATATGTCCCGAATTTAAATATCTAAATTTCGGAAACGTGTAGAGAATTGATAAACCAAGAAAAAAGTCCGTATTAGATAATGCTTGCGTTGCTGCAAGAGGCCAACATTTTGAACAATATCTACATTAAGCAAGTGAATAAATACGATGTGAATAAGTAATATGAAAGTACAAAAATGAAAACTACGTTTTGTCTTTTTTTTTCCAAAACGAAGCAAAAACGAGCATATTTCTACTGGACTTTTTTTCTTATCAATCCCCTATACTCCCGAAGTTTAGACATTTAAATTCGGGCCACCCTGTGTAGTGCAAATTGATTAAATAATTGTGTGTATACATATATATACATAAATTTCTTAAAATTAAATATTTATATTTTTTATAACAGTTCTTTATCACTCTTGGTGTCGGTGTGGGTGGAGTACGTGTGTTTCCGGATGGTACACACAGTTCCGGAATGCGAAAACCATGGAGAAATATAGACGCTAAGGTGCACTTTAATATTTTTTTTATATTATTTAATTTAATTTAATCATTTAATATTATTTAATTAATTAATTTATGGCTAATTTAATATGTTGATGCTTTAATTTTCATTCTTAAAATACTCTTTTACAAAATAAGCATCCGTTTTTTTAAATAATTACATGAAATATCGTCTTGATTCTAGGCAATGTTGAATTTCTGGAACTCTCGGAACCAATGGTTACCAAGCTGGAGACGAGACAGTGGCAATAAGACTGCTTTTGTAATAGATTACATCAAAGTGTGGGCTTTTTAAATCAACGTTGATACATGCATAATTCTTCATTTTTTATCATATTCATTATTTTGTTTTTTATCATTTATGTTATTTGTAATGGTAGACCGGATCTTTTTTATCGCGCAACAATTATATCCTACGTAGGCATTCAGTATTGCGAACATGAAGAAACAAGCTATCAGCAAAAATAGGCAAATCAGTTACCTTCTGATTCAATAATGGCAGAAGATTACAACGTTGCCTGCAATGTTATTGCACTTGGAATCTCCACTAAGACTTATAAAGGCCTTTTTACCTGCGTAACGCAATTAGAGTCCTGTAATTGGACCACTTCTGTTTCTATAAAAGGGTGAACGATGCTCCCATAAAATTGGAAAGAAATTCAGGGTCGCCCGGAGCTGGTTTTTATCTTTAATGATGCCTCCATTAGCCGCTCGGACGGTTATCCTCTGATAATATTCCTGCCGATCACGACATGAACATGAAAATGTCTTAAACCAGCGCAAAGTTTACCAAGGACATAATATTTTCTATAGGATAGATGGTACCATTAATCGTATTTACTTCAACTAAATTTTGCTCTATGCGTTACATTTTCCTTTTTTTCTAATAGCTACTTCTCTATTCTATATGTTCTATTGTATTTTCTATTGTAATCAAATAGATACAAAATTATATAATCAAAGAATAATCAGGTACTTATTTATATTCTAAAGAAATATTACATCATTATATGAAAAGCGGCAACGTGCATAGCTCATAGCTAAAAATAGGGTACCAGACATGATATATTATGGCAAGTGATGATTGTCAAGGTCATCCCTGTGGCAGGTTCGATTTTATTCGTCAGTTTCACTTTTTTTACGTCGAAAGTTCGAAAAAAAATTTGTTTCCAAGATTGTATAGCAAAGATCTATCTATCTGAAGTTGACAGTACTTTTTTAAACAATGTATAAAAAAATTAGATGAAAAAAAAAAGAACATAATTAAAGCACAATGTCGACTTTCGACCTGGCCCATCATTCAAACCGGTTTACCTCGGTTAATGTTGGAAACAAGAAAAAAGGGTCATCATGCGGTTTCTTCCGTCTGCTTCGTGGTATCACGACTGATGCTCTGGCCGGATCCGATTAATTTTAACGTTCTATGGTGCGCACGTGTGTTACCTTTACTGTGGCATAAAATCTCGATAAAGTCGAACGACTTCAGTTCGGCTTTAACGTCTTGTCTGGTTTTGTTTTTGCGGCCTTTTCTACGCGGCGAAACTTTTTCCTCATGAACAGTCGATCGATAGCTCCCGCGGTAGCTACCACGATTTCCTCTCCTACGGTTGGCAGACAATTCAAACTGTTCTAACTTGTAATAAATTTTGTTAAATGTGTGTAAACTTAGTACTTTATTTTAACTTAAGTCAGTAAGTCAGTAGTCACTTGCAAAGATCTCGTGACAGATAATGACTTTGAAAAAAGTGACTGTTATTTTAATCATCTTCGTTTGGGCCACTGATTCTCTGGTGGTTTATTATCCTCGTTCAAGACGATCAAGTAAGTGATTTTATAATATAATTTTTATCATTACAGATTATATGCTATGTAATCTAAACTCTGGAATAGATTACATTCCAGAGTTAATGAATATGATCTATTCATATTTTTCTAATATTAACACAATTTTGGATGAAAATTGACCTACATAATTAAGAATTTTTTACTTTTTTATATCTCCTTTATAAGTTGCAAGATGTTGGAATAACTAAATTAATACTTTATTTTAACAGATGAACTTTAATGTTAAACAATCTTATTAAATGTTATTTTTAATATAAAACTATATTAAACTCAAAAAGTGCATGAGTGAAAATTCATCTACGATAAAGAATTAATTAGAGTAATATCTCTCTCTAGTAAGAACAATATCAATTGTTTTGGGCTATATAAAGTTTAAATATATTCTTAAATTAATAGATATTTATCTTTTACTATAGTATGTCAGAATTATTTACTCAAAACGCAAAAATTAAAAAAATATATCTAAAGGATTTCATAAAAGATAAGTGTTCAAAATATTTTTAATTCTCTTTAAAACACTTTTCAAATAGACTTCTTAGTCAGTGTGTGCATATGTAACATCGATTTATTACTTAAACGGAAACTTCAATAAGAATACATGTGTATATATTTAGCAAAGATGTCATTCAATTAACGCATGTTTAAATGTTTTAAATAAAAACAGTTGTCACTATCCACAGCATATCAATTTTTCCATCTCACAATGTATGCAGTTAAATAATTGAAAAACTTGATTAAGAATGCGTATTGTCGACACATGATGCTGGTGCAACCAACTTTATATAAAATTATACAAGAATTAGATAAGTGAGTATTGTATACATTATGAAAATTTTATTTCAGGTAATGAATATATATTGCACAGATGTACAGCTACTGCGGAATTAATTAGAAAGCATAGGAATGAGGATGTTGGAGCCAGTTTACGCAGAGCCGAAGGAAACTTGGCACAATCGCAAACGCAACAAAAAGGTTCTCTGATTGATGCTATTCAATCCGAAACTTCCAAGCAAATTTCGAATGGTGTTTTTCGACGTATGACTCATATGAGAAGACGCGGTAGTGGACACGCACGTCGAATCGCGGGTAAACATTTAGCAGATACACCTCTTAAAACCGTAAACATCAATGTACCACAAGACAGACCATCAACCTTCAAGAAGAAGAATCCATTACCAGAACTCTCGCGCAACATATCGGGCAGAAACATCAATTCGTCACCACATGTAATAATTATCAAATCTGTCACTTAATATTTTTCTAACATTCAATTTATACTGCCCCAGATTTTAATTTGATTGCAAATTAGTATAACTGCATAATACATAATTACTTGTAATAATACTAAAGAACAGCATATCATTTTTTTTGGAACAATTTACCAATCTTATCTTTCTACAAATATTAATATTAGGTGTAGTAAAAAGTCATCGCGTATTTTTTAGCTCAAAGTTGTATATACAATATCTTCGTCAATAATGAATGAAATTCAAATTAAAAAAAAGGGTTTTAAAGCTTGAAATCTCTACTTTTAAAAGCTTATCACATTTTTTAAGTTTATATGAGTTTGATAATTTTTACATACCAAAAACTACGAGCTGAAAAAGACGAAAAATTTTCTTCTCACTTTGTGGATTTGTAACGTGTCCAAAACGAATTTGAGAAAATTTTCGATTACCTATCGTGAAAGCTTGATACTTTCCCTACAAAATCGTTTTTTTTAAATATTCCTACGACTTTTGATTACTGAGTTATCGCGGATTAAATAAAAGAATTATTTTGACTTTAATTGCTCATAACTCCATTATAAAAATTGTCGTATCATATAATTTAAAAGAGATTTTTAAAGCTGAAACTTTACTCTATTAAGATATATTTATATTGTTGGTAAGAAAGTAATTGCAGTTTTTACTGATAGATGTCTTTTAAAAAAACGCGATGACTTTTTACTACACCTAATATTAATAAATATTATTTTTCATAACTGCGGCCTTTTAAAATAAGATTATTTTTATCGTATAATTAAATTTTCAAAAATTAAAATAAGTATAAAGTTAAATAAATAAACTTGAAATGTATTTTTTTGTAGTTTATATTGATAAAACTATTATATCTACAACCTGGATCATATAAACAATTATTCATAATGAGTAATTATTAATTATACATTATATAGTTACGTATTACCAATTGCAGCTATACTCTCAGGCAACTTCTCCATCTCAACCTGCAAATAAAAGTTCTTAGATAAGTCAGATGTAAATGAATTTGAATCTATTTTATATTATAGGTTCGTTCTTTCAGCTAAATTTCTTGCACCATTATTTCCTCGTTTTCTCGTTTCTATATAGAGAAAAAACAAGGAAAGATGAACAATATAAAGTACATAGAAGTATAGTTGAATAGACCATATAAAACTCTGACCTTGGTCACTTTCATTGCCACTCCTTCTGGCAAATTTCTTTGAAGATATTCTAGAAAAGTATCTGCTGTCGATCCAGTCAATTTTAAAAAGTCTAGATAGCGATAGTAAGTCCTAATTTCATACTGAACTCGGTGCTTTTTATGAACATGAGCAGATTTTAATACTGTCCAGCGTTCGTGGATAGCTTTATATGGTGCTGTACTGTAAACAAAAAAAATTATTTTAATATATTATCCAATCAGCTATTTTTTGTGATGTTTCCTGTGGAGGACTTATGTAAGTGCTTTTACGTTGAAGTTAAATAACCGAATAAGACCTGATTATATCAATGTTACTTTAGGCCTGTTCTTTTTGGCTGAACTTTTGCATCAATTCATCTTCTTCTTCTTTCATCTTGAAGAGAAAAGAAAAAAAGATGAACTGATGCAAAAGTTCAGCTAAAAAGAATAAGCCTTTTGACTTTAAGCAAGACTTAAAATTCTTACTTTCTTTTTTTAAAGCCAAAAGAGAGAAAGAGATGAAAAGTTTTAAGTCTTATTTAAAGTCAAAGTAACATTGAGTTACAACCGGATCTAACTAGAACATTAATAAACAAATAACTAGAACTCACTTTCTACCTATGTTGATCTTCAAATGATTTGCAGCCATCGTTGCAAATATTCCATAGCTCTTTAATACCGCTGGATCATTTCCCCTGACTTCAACTTCAACTTTTTTATACAACTTATCTGGTGTGCCCTAAGAAATAAATATTCTATTTACACTCTATATTTGAATAAATTAATGGAAATATAACAATAACAAAATTTATCGTGTTTATCAAAAGAGAAACCTGTTCTTTCATTGAATCCTGTTGCTGCTCGTTCTGTTGCTGTGTTGACATGAAAAGTTTCATGGAGGGTATATCGTTTCGTAGATATTTACGCACGAGAACACCAGGATATCCTGATTCATGTTGTATGGCAGCAAAAGTAATATTTCTGAGAAGAAGTGGTAGCTAACAGAATATAACACGGTTAACCTCAATTTCAATTTGCATTGGCTTTATGTTTATATCGAGATACCTTTGATAAGATCATTTTTTGACGTTTTATATCGGCGAACAGAATTCCAAACTGCGAGGTAATCTCCAGAAATTTTATGAATTTATTATTTCCGTGTTATGTAAACATATTCATTCGTATATGCGTTTAGCTGAACACGGTAACTGTAACTGAGGCTAATTTGCTAGATCCAGCGATCATAACCAATAAACCAATCCAATCATATTCGCTTACTGCTCAGCATGCACAATTGTTGTTTCTATTAAACATAGATTGTACATACAACGTACACTGAATACAATTGCAATTAGAATCGTACAACAGTTGTGTAGTTGATTGTGATGTCACCTTGTAGGTGCAATATATTTATGTATTATAGTAATAATATAAAATTCTCTTAGTAAAACAAAAATACTGCGAGATTGTGCAAAGTTTATATTTGCATTAAACTAAAATGACTAAATTTGATACTCATTATTGCAATGTTAGATGTTTGTTAAACATAGACTAATATTTAAAGTTACAAGAAGAGTTTTAATAGTTTCAATAATTAAACATTGATATCTGGTTTTTTATGGTAACAGAATACGATTAATTATGTCTGAAGTTATATAGACATATATAATTAGAAAAAGAAAATTACTTAACATATTAAAAATTTATTAACATAATATGTTAAGTAATTTTCTAAATATCTAAACATGCATATATTATATGCATATTTAAATCCACAAAAATTATCTGATGCAATATAAATTTCTTATCTTCGAAAATGTAAAATATTTAATTAAAATAAAGCGCAGTTTTGTATATTTTTATTTTATGTTCAGTTTGTAATAAACAACGTCCGTTATAGAATTTTATTTAATTTGTTCGAAATTGTTACAATTTTGATTTAAAAGAATATACATCGTGATTGGTATAATTTTTAAATATAATATAATGAGTCTAATCGAAACATTTATCAAAACTGAACCGGAACACTCGGTTATACAATTTCAATCAAAACCGAAATTAAAATTAAAAATAAGAATTTTATAAAGGCCATATATAAGTATAAACATAACGGCATCATGTACTTTTTGTAAATAAATACCATAATTTAGGAAACAGTAATTAAATTTCAGCCAAAATCGAAAACCAAAACTTTGGTTGTGTACCAATTTTGGCTAAAGAATATAAGTGCTTTTTCTTTATAAACGTTATAATTATTGAAACAATAATTACACATATTAAATTTAATATTTATGGAAAAGAGTTATATGGTTTCAGTCGAAACTGACACACAAGTTCGTTTTCAGTTTCAGTAAAAGTTTCAATTCGGAGACTCTAATAATAAAAAACTCATAAATTGCAGATTTTTAAATATGAAATATGAGATGTCAGCTTGTGATATATTTTAGAAAACGCTTC